GCAGGATATTACTCGAAAACAGCTGTTAGCTTCGAGCAAACATATGCCTGCACCCTTACTATTGTATCTCTAAACATATGCCGTTTTGCGCATACACAACTGCGACGGCCATTGATTGGACAAGGAGCGCATTCGAATAGAAAAATTGTGTGTATGTTTTTACAGACGGAAGTTAGTCTGCCTCAGTGGGCGGCTGGTGTCTCAGCTGTAGATGAGCAATTTAGCCAGTGTGGTACAACTGCTAGCCTGAGCTTTTTAACATGCACCACGCAGTAGTGATACATGAGCGCACGCTGGTACGGTGCTCATCCAGATCAAAACGGGCAAGGGTGGGGATTGAAAACAGGATCCTGGGTTCTGCAGAGCGAGCTTTCACTCCATGTGCTCTGAGCTGGTGTGCACTAGCCCACTCAGCTACCGATCACCCCATTCAAAAAGAAGGATGCAGATTTCGCCTCTGAAGCAGCATCTGGGTTCACGAAGCAGCATTTGGGTTCACGTATCTGCGGACCAATGAAGCGGCAGCGGGTCCTTTCAACGAAGGTGATGCCTGCAGGTTGAAGGCAAACGGTAAACCGTTCAAAATGCACGTAACATATCTAGATCGCCACGTGACTTTGACAAGCTTGATGAATCGTAGCCACACTTGATTTTTACATGCAGCCGCGTGTAAGAGAGAAATGGGCTGCATGCGTGCTAAATATAACTTTTGGCATCGTTTTAAGATGGCCTAGCAGTTGGTTCCGATTTCGCCGCATAATCAAACCGATTGATATGATTTGGGCGAGGTGTGGCTGGACACAGTTGAATATCGTCGGCACGGCATCACGCCTCAGCTTGCGAGCTTATTGTCCACTTAGAGTCCAGCTCGCAGCTCTCTTCTGTGGAATGATTGTCGCATAAGCGGGATCTCAATCTTGACGGGAGCCCGGTGCTCCCTACGTGCGGCGACGATCCATTCTGCTCGTCGCTCCACTTCTCGGGGATTGCAGGTGCTGCCTGGTAATTGTGGCACCCCAGCGCGCAACAAAAATTTGACCCATCCACGAAACAAGTCTAACAAAACAACAAAAATGAAGCACGCTGCAGTGTTCACTGGCAGGCGAACGACGAGACGGAAATGCTTACTGTGCGTTATGTGACGTCAGAGCTTCAATGTAGCCAACGAAAGCACCATTTAAGCTAGGATGTGATTGGATTACTTTAAAATTGAATTACTCATGCATAGGGACAAATAAAATTCACATATTGCACGGACGATGCGTTTCGAGGCAATAACAATGATATTCAATTATTTTCTCAAACACAAAACTTGACCAAGCAGTCAGTCCCTTTAAAGGATTTCTAAAAAGAAAAAAAAAAGATTTTTTTTTAACAGTCTGGTTGGGACACGCATGTCAAAAAATGAACTTACACACAAAACAATTTTTTTAGAGCAATATTGACAGCGCGAGACGCGCTGTCAATATTTATTTTTAAAATTGTTTTTTTTGGCAAATATCCTACGGAACCAAAAACTCAGATAAAAGTGTGCTTTCTCCCTCGGCACATAGGGGCTTTACGTGCAGTTAGAGTTCCTGTATAGGCTTCCTACGGGAGGCAGAGTTGCGCGTCTGTTTTCCACGTGCCACCGCATCTACTATTCGCCGAGATCTGATCATGTGAGGAGCCGGATCAAATGCCGTGCAGGAAAGTAGACGTTGCACGCGCCCCAGCATTCCCCTGCTTTCGCCTCCTTCTCCTCGTTTTCTGTTTCCCATGCGTGGCGGCGCCGCTATTCGCCAAATTTAGCCATGTGAGGAGCAAAGCATCCAGGGCGTGCAGAAAAGCCGGCGCTATGGCCACCCGCCGAGGCTGAATGCGCAACTCTGCTACCGTAGGTAGCTATATACAGGAACTCTACGTCCAGTGAATCTGCAGCGCTATCTCTGGATAAGGCAAAAAAACATGGCCGTTGTTCGGTGTCTCCCCAACAGCTACCCCTCCGCTGTTGGAAAAATATATTTTTATTTTAGTATTTTATTTTTACTCGGAGTTTCGACTTTAAAATTTAGCACAACAATGTTACCAGTTAAAGACATGTTCGAGAGAAGTCAAGTTTTTTTTAATTTTTGTGAACTATTTTATATATTTATAAAAATATTTATATATATATTTTTTTGTGAACTATATATATATATATATATATATATATATATATATATATATATTTTACGCTTTGAATAAAGTTGAAATTTCTTCATGAGGCGATGTCCCCCTAAACTTTATACTGTAAAAAAAAAAAAAAAAAACACTGTGGGCACTTGTAGCCTTTATTTTAGAGAAAAAAGATGTAATTAAAGGCCGACTTACGAAACCATTTTCCGCAGGGTAGGAAAGTGCTCCCCAACGACCTTCGCTCCCTCCCCTCTCGCACTCCTTCCTCCTCCTCCCCTGAAAAGGGCGGGTCCGGAAGCTAGCCTCCGTGGAAAGAAGAAGGGGTTTCCTCCTTTCTGGGTGGAAAGGAGGAAACCTCCTCTCCCGTGGAAAATGGTTTTGTAGGTCGGCCTTTAAGAAAGAAAACTGTGGGCGCTTGTAGCATTTATTTTAGAGAAAAAAGTGAAAGCCGTTTACAACTTCCTGTAATGCCGAATTGGAGTGCAGCTCTTGAGGAGGAGGGAAGGGTACTGAGGGGAGGGTAGACCCCTCCTCCTCCTCCCCTCATTTTTTAATATGCTCCGGGGGGGGTCACCTGACCTCGGGGGGGGGGGGGGGGGGTCACGTGACCTCGGGGGGGAGGGGGTCATGTGACCTCGGGGGGGGAGGGGGGGTCACGTGACCTCGGGGGGGGGGGGGGGGCACGTAACCTCGGGGGGTCACGTGACCTTGGGAGGGATCACGTGACCTTGGGGGGTCACGTGACCTCGGGGTGACCTTGGTTACGCCGACAGCGACGGCGACGCCGCTCAAGCCGGAAACGGGCGCTGAAGAGCTGCGCTCTAAAAGATGTAATTAAGAAAGAAAACAATATTTTCGTTCTTGCTGTCAAGTGTTATTCATTGATAGAAATGTCGCATTTCTTGTTGTCATCGTCAGTTTTTTTTTTTTTCTCAACATTAGGTTTACCTGGACGTCGGCTCGTGGAGGAATTTACTCGTTCTCTTTTGACTCAGGTAACGTCAGATTCTCAAGCTTCAGCTGCTCTATCACCACCGCTAGCGTCACATCTTCGAGCAGTTTCAGCCTTGTCCTTAAAGGGCTACTCCACCGATTTTTTCATTGTCTTCGATTTGCTTGAAATTTTGCTGAACTAACCAACAAACATCGCGAAAATAGTATCCCAAATATTAGGTCAAAATATTGTTTTTTCGCGAAGTTATTGAATTTACAGTTTTGGTCCTCACCGTGTTTTTCAAGCTCGAAGTCTCTACTGGCAACAATGAAAAAGTGACGTCAGTGGAAGGCAGGGGTTCACTCTTTGGGCTGTAGATTTCGTTTTAAACTGATTCGAAGCAGTTTCATGGTGTCAAATTAATGCTTGGGAAGCTCGCTGCAGTACCCGCGCTCCAGCACGGAGCAAATGATTGGCATATTCTATTTTTTGGCTGCTTGCTCGACTGGCAAGCCTGCCTGCCACTGACGTCACGGCCCTGAAAAGCGCGCGTATATTTGAATGTTGGTTTTTGCATCATTTTCATTTGCCGATTTCGCAATAACTATTATGAATTTCGCGATTCTAAATAGCATACCGGAGAGAGTAAAGGCCGGGGAGTCAGAAAATATAGTTAGTTGAGGTAGCTCAAAAAATCGGTGGAGTATCCCTTTAATACAATTTGTACACAGAAATTAAAAGGAACTTACCAGTCCGCTTCTCTTGCACACTGGTGCTCGTATGACATCTAAAGGAAGAGTCGGAATAGCATCGTCGTCGAGTAGTCTCCACCGTTTCGGGAAGCCCAGTTTGTTTGAAACACGCCAGGAAGTGAAGCATTGCGCGCAGAAGTGGTCGGAGCACACGCGGCTGGCGGATTGTGGTCGCTTTGGGTCATCGTGCAATCCAAGTACTCTGAGCCACCGACTTCGTAGTGGTACAGTGCCTAGAAATATACTGGTAGTGGCTCCTGGGTGGGCAGGCGATAAAAAGACACGCTCGCATCGCGGTGCGTACGAGTGCAGCCATTTACAAGGCATTTCAATGGAGCCACGGATCAGCGATCGGAGCCAACTTGGCCGAGTCACCTAAAGTACGGTTGTCAGGATTTTAGCAGACGCTGGTTCCCGTACTTCACCGCAACACACTTCACTTTAACAGTTAAAAACTTTGTCCGAATTTAAAAAGAAATACCAAAGTGCGCATAAGAGAACGCTACACGCAGTCACAAAGGCCAACCCGGCCAATCTTTTGAATTTGAAGATGTGGAGTGCGCCCGTGGGGCCAGGGGGCCAGTGTTGCCAAATTCTGAAAAGAGAAAATGGCTGAAAAGCTACAAAGAAATTACTAAAAACCCTAAAAACACTAAAAAGTGGCTAAACTATCCAAATAAGTGCTAAAAGTAAGTAATTGTACTAAGCATCCCTTTGCACATATCTAGGGATACAAGAGTTACGCTGGTGGTTAAGTACTGACTTGCGCTGAGAGTCTGAGCGGTCTGAGCAGTCTGTCCCTTATCCCCCTTATCCACTCTGGAGTCAGTACAAGTGGCAGATACACCTCCGTTTTTCCGTTCACATCTAAACCGTCTAAACTGACTGCAGTTGGAAGCTACGCGCTTTATCTACCAGTCATACGTCCACCTTGCTTCCCGCGATCATACCGTGATCTATGCATTCATTAAAATCCTAAAACCTGCCCAACCTGCCGCTGATTGATGGGGTGCAGAGCTATGGTGTAGACTCGTTGGGCCAGGTAGCGCAAGCTACCGCCCAAAAAAGAAAAAAAAAATTTTTACTGTCATTTATTTATCTATCTATTCATCTAGCCACCTTGCTACAATCCATAGAGGAGTTCGATCGCCCTATCGCTTCGTGCGTCTTGAGTGTATTATTGGTATTATTTGTATAGATATTAAAGAAATTAACGGTGTTTCATCTCGACCCACCGCAAGAACTAATTTGCGAAGCGGGTGAACTGGATGAATCGCGCAAACAGGACGGCGTGCAGAGCACAGTGGCGCGGGGCGCATGGATATTTGTTTGCCGGTGCCGCGTTGGCTGCCTTCTGTTATGTTATGGGAGTCAAATCTTTGGACTTCGAACGAGCTTCCGTAAAGCGTGCCTGATAAACGTATGCAAATGCATGTCAGCCATCGGAGAACATACCAGAGCACATCGAAGGAGACTGGGAAGCATCCGAAACCCTTCACGGTAAGCGCATTTCAGTCTCAAAGCAGCATTGCCTAAATAATGACCAAAACCATTTCGCTCTGTCATCCGTGCTAGAGCAGAATTCACTTCGCTACTTCTCCGTCGCTCGTAGCTCACTGTCATAGCTTGTACTAGTGATGGGACGAATCACCGGAGATTCGGATTCGCCCAGATTCGGAAATTTCCGAACTTCCCGCGACGAATATTCGGCAGATTCGGAGATTCGTCCGATTCGTCGCTGGTTGAAGACGGCAGCAACGGCAGCGTGAACCTTGTCGTAAAGCTCGCGAACGCGGTCAGTTTTGTTTGTTTTTAGGTACTGTTACTGCATATAACCAGATTTCGTCTTGTTTATTACAACGTACGTCGTATGGTATGTACTGTACTGTCATTCTAAACCCCGGCACACGCCCGGATCCAGCTGAGCTGATCGGTGTGGTTGACGTAGGCCTAACCAATGCACGGTCTCGGTTTCTGTGCGGTTTCGCGGTGATCGGTAAAATATGACGAAATGCTGCGTGTTATACATAATGTGGCGCAACGCACAATAAATATATTCAGGCAAGGAAATGGTTCGTCTCCTTCTCTAGAGCTGCGTATGCAGTACCTGTAAGGCGCGAGAGCGAGATGAATGTTCGTAGCAACTTCGACCGCGTACCGGCACCGGTGGGGAAGAAAAACGTCGCTAATTCGCACTGTCGTTTCTCCGTTCTCGGCAGTAAGTTTTGTGGACGTGAACTTTATTTGACAAAAAACAAACAACACAGAGGTGTCTAACGTCGAAACAAATGCTACTAAATCACATATCATTAACCAGAAAGGTACAAATGCAGTGCAGGGTACGGCGCAAGGAGTTTCAGGAATCGGGTTGTTTCCCTTGTTCCGATAATACCTCAGTGGACACACGTTGAAGATAATCGAATCGAACATACTTAGTTGTGTGCCACTATAACGGTAATTATGAACATAAAATGTGTCAATATTGAACAGCACGTACGGCATCATCTCTTGCGGCGATGAAAACATGCACTTGTATTTCCACGTGCACCAAGCATGGGTCATAATCCGAAACCGAAACCAATTAAATTTTCCCACGATTTTCGGCTGGGTTCTCGACAAACATCCAACATAATATAAACAAAGCGGAACGTTTTATTTATTACTATGATATTATATTACAATATATTTTGTGCACTTCATAGAATTTAGTGAATTTGATATCACGAAAAGTTGAAAGACTCATCAACGTGATCTGGCAACCATGGCAACGCTCCGAATCTTTCCGAACTTTTCCGAATCGCTTGAGATTCGGCTACTCTTCCGAATCTTTCCGAATCTCCAGATTCGGCTCCGAATCTCGATTCGGATAAAGATTCGTCCCATCACTAGCTTGTACCGTAGCCACGGTGTAGGAAGGCTCTTTAGGTGTGGAGACTCCTCTCCTCGCCCCGTAGGAGCGGCGAACACATCACGTCCCCTCCTTTCCCATGTTTTCTCCGCCTGCCCCTATACTTCGTTTCAGCTTCGGTCCAGACGCAGCCGATGCTACAAGCGCGAGCATGTGGTCCAGAACAGTGGTTGCACTGCACGAGCGCGCGTGCTTGGCAGGGATGCTGAAAACCCGGAGCTCGCGCTTGTAGCTTTGGCTGCGTCTGGACCGAAGCTGAAACGAAGTATAGAGGGCGCCAAAACGCTCAGGCCTTCCGATCGCCGGCCCTCCGCCAGAACGTGGGCTAAAGCGCGAAACACATGTACGACGAAACCGTCCGATCCGACGTCCGACCGCGCAATACGACGGTCGGAGGCGAGGGTTTTCAACGCTCTCCGATGCTACGAAAACCCTCGTCGTACGGTTTCGTCGTACATGTGTTTCGCGCTTAAGTCACCCATTGCTTACGTTGCCTCTAATTGTTTCCAACTTTTTTTAATTTTTTTTCAATGGTGAACCGAGCATAAAAGAAATGTAAACACCAAAGATCCAAAGCCAAACATTTGAATGAATGCGCCGACTGCTTTCCAGCCTGGGGAAACGTAAACATTTTAGAAAGGTAAAACAACGACATGAAAATATTAGTAAAAGAGACGATCAGGATAAAGACGTCTGCCGAATGGATCAGTCACATGCTCGGTCGTTGTTCTCTCCAGATTGAAGGAGCCTCGTAGGGGATTGTCTTGCTTGCGGTAGACGCAGACACATCAGACTGCCCATCTGTTCAGAGTCGGATTCTGTCTGGCGTTCTCGTGGAACGCAGACACCTCCGTGGAAGGCAGACGCTTCTCCGGTTTCGGTCGAATGTGCAAAAGGGTTCGGATCGCATGAAAATGCGACAGGACTGCAAAGGAAAAAATGAGAGGCAAAGAAGCAGTCTCGAGAAAAGAAGAAAGAGTCCCGACTGTGTGACTCGTAATGTGGAAAAGAACTCCAAAAGCAGCTATCCGCGTCTCCAGCTCGACCCTCGCCCTCCCGCGGCGGAAACGGGAAGCGCTCTAGTGGGGGTCCCCCGATTCTCCTGCTCAGCAGGCATGGCGGAACTGCTCGCGATCATGGCTCACGAAATGTCGTTTCCGAATGCAAACAACACTCTTCACTGTCCCAACGTAGTGCTGCAGCCGGTATGGGATTGTACTTTACTGGAGAGTTTTAGTATTGCGCATAGAAGCAAACGCAAGCGGTGTGCGTTTGCGTTAGAGTTGCAAGCCCCACGTTGTGCGTGCGCCTCGTCGCTATGCGCCACCCAAGACCGCAATTTTAGGCTCCGCGCACGCGCAGTGTGGAACACGCAAAGCTAACACAAACACACAGCGCTTGCATTCGCTCGTATATGCAATACTAAAACTCACTACTGTTTCACCGGCTTCCAACGCCAACAAAACGTGCTGCAGTTATCAGTCGTGCAAGCAAGTAGGCGTTCCTTCGAACTGGAAAGGCTGAGATTGGAAAAAACGACGGAGCTTAAAAATGTAAGTGACTAAATGTTATAAAAATATTAATATATATATTTTTATCTTTTGGGCATTTGGTCTGGAAGGATATTGGCAGCGACTTACGTTTTTGCTGATTGTCAAAAGTGGCGACTTTGATAGAAAATATACTTCAGCCACAATTAATGTAATTTTACATCGATTTCTCACATTAGCTAGAATGTTTTCATTGACTTTAGACTATTTTTATTTTATTACTTGGTAATTAAAAATTCTGCAATTGGCACGAGTGAGGATAATTAGCACACTTTTGGTTGTCCTATTTGTCCGCGCGTTTAAAATTAGATCATAAGGAACGCTTGAAAAATTACGTATTACAATAGCTGAATTTTAATATTATTAATACCAATCGCGGCAATGTATGCCCCCAATTAACGCCAAGATCACGAAAATACGCCATTTGACTGTATTAGTCTATTCAGAAAGGTATAATTTTGTTTTCTTTTTAGCATATGAAGAACTCTGACATCGTTATCAAGATAGACAAGCAGTCAAACACTGGATGTAATATAAAGTCCTATGCATCACGCGTTGCTATAAAGAACACACACACACACTTCAGCTGTCTGCCTCGGATTCCGTCTCTGAATTGTTGCAAAGAGAACAGCGTTTATTAATTAATATGTTTTGTGGACATTTGTAAAAATTGGAATTGTTCACTTATTCCTGTTAAACCAATTAATCATCTAAATACCCCAAAACCCATTAAAAGTCCCGCAGTTTATTATTTCCCATGACAATTATCTGACAGAGAAAAGGCAGCGAGAACGCACAAATATCAGCACTGATTTTTTCAACAACTACAAATATCAGCCTGGATCAGACATGTATGTCACAAAATAAAGTTTCCGGAAAAAACTTCTCTAACTATATAATTATGATGCGAGACATATCTTGAGGTATGAAAGAATCCTAAATTAAGACCTATACCGAGAAATTAAATCCAAAATAGAGGTTAGTTTCGGTTTCGCTCCAGATTTAAAACGCGCACCCTTGCGTAAATATTACGCTAAACACAGTTCTTGCTTTCAGGGTGAAGAGGTAACCTGCGCCCATAACACCCTAGCTTCCTCGTATTACCAGAAATAATTTGTGTCGCTCAGTAAAGATAGCACACTACACAGGCTCAACAGCGGCACGCATCTCCGACCCTCACTCTAACCGCCATTTTGGAAAATGAGTGGCGTCACCTGTAGTTAGTTGGAGTCGCGAATAGAGTGTGCCATACATTAAACAATGTTTTAACCACGTTTTTTTTACAGCGTTTTTTTTACAGCGATTTTTTTTAAAAGTTTGTGATGATATTATTATTATACTTATATCAGAAGTGCCATTAATAAAACCGGTTTGCTTTACTGGACGAGTGTGGTTACTATAAACCTTTGCTGCAGTCTGCTACATGCAAATGTAAGTGTACTAACAAAGTGAACCTTTCAAAGAATGCTGCTTTTATTAACCTCTGCGTGCAAAATGTGTAACTTCGTGCCAATTCGGCCAGCAGTTCAATTTAGCAGGACTCAAAGGCTGCCTTAAAATGTAAAAGAATAATCGCGTTAGCTGCCCCACATGTTGAAAAAAAAATTTTTTTTTTTTTAATAGTCTAGTTGATTCAACGGTAATTTGCAAACCCGATATATATATATATATATATATATATATATATATATATATATATATATATAGAAAAGTCATGTGAACGGTGCTTAAAGCAATTCAGTTCCTTATTATTTGTTAACAAGGTTTGTGTTAATCATTCTTTATTTTTGTGCATTTATTTTTCTTTCGGTCGCACTGAAGTTATCGTTTACCTGCGCTACAGTCAGAGTTTATTCATTTTACAAATGCTTCCCGACGTTACTATTGCGCTACTGAGGAAACAAACGACGGAATGTAAGCTAGGCTAGAAATTATCTACAGGAGAGGGATATTTCTTTTTGACTCGTAGACCGCCGCGTCGGCTCGTATTAGGGAGTTACTCTTGTTTGTCCGTCCGCCATTTTTTGGGTTATGAAAACTTC